TGTGATATATGTGATATATCACAGATTAATTAGTTACACCAAGTGTACTGTTCGATTTGTTTAGCAATATTCTGGTTATGCCTACTATTTCTCATCTAACTGAACATTTTAGTTAATTATTTTAATCATATTTCTTTCAGTGTAAAATTGCTTGTTAACATCACAAAATCACAAACAAAACTGATTCAGTTCACCCATATCATCAGTGATTATTATTATTATGGTCTACTAATATTAATAATACTTTATATAAAAACTTGTTTATTATAGTTTTAAACTCTAAATATAACTTCACTTGTTACTAATTTCCACACTTGATTATATTATATAGTGTCCTACGACTACGTAGCTAGACACTTTTTCTTGGGTAAGCCCAATATCTTGATGTAAAGATTATCAATGAATATTTTTATTAAAAAAGTAACAGAATATCATATATTATACATTTATTATATTATGCATATTATAAGCATTTATTTTAAAATTAAAAACTAACAGTACCTACCAATATTAGTGTTAATAGACTACACATTTACTACACAGGTAAGATATAAAACATTTGTTTTGGGAGAAAAGTGGGTAGACCCGGGCCTACCAGGATTACCTACAGGCTACGCCACTGATTTATTTATTTATATACATACACAAATATTTAATTTAGATTCTAAGCCGATCAATGAATGTATTGATTTTGTAACAATATGTGTATTTTTATTTATTGCAAGATTTTTCACAAGTTGTTTTTAACGCCGTTAGGGTGAAGTGGGATAATTGTAAATAGATTATGCAAAATGTAAAAGAAAATTGAATGTTATACATACTATTTATTTGTTCTTTGCTTTTGTGCTCAATATCAATTAATGGCCCTTCAAAATATAAGGTTTCATATGAAAAAATACAAAAAGTACATTTTTCAATATGAAATTCAATATTTACAATCACCCCATAAAAAAATTATATAAACTTTTTTAGGGGTAATTGTAAATGAATAAAATTAAACCTATTGGATATTATGCAACTGTTACTGGGGCAATATGAAATAAAATGATCCCTGATTATTTTATGAGTCTCAAGTGTGAATTATGCACATATTTACAACTGCCCCATTTCATATACTTTCACTGGGGTAATTGTGAATAATAATTATGTTTATCCATTTTAAATAATAAAATGCTTGGGGCAAACGTAAATAAAAATATAATCAAACAAAATTTAATATTTTAACATTATTTCTTTATTCTTGTACCTCTATATCAGTCTTTTGATAGGTAATTAACAATTAAAAAATGTAAGTAACAACTTAAAACAAATTAAACTCTAAAACAACATATTTATCTTAACTCTACATTAGTCTTTTGATAAATAAGTAACTATACAATAACAATTTAAGTAAATAACATCTTAAAACTAAAATCAGTTTTCGTTAACAGTGACAAAACCAGGAAATTTGTAAACCAACTTCCTTCCTTTTTTTGCCATGGTAGGAACTGGTAGTATTGCTTGGATCATTTCTATATCAATAGTAGATATATCATTATCCACAACTGAGAACACATCTCCTTCATAATTTTCTTTTTTCATCCTTTTCACTATAATATCCCCATCATTGTCATCATCAACACTTACAACATAACAAACATATTTATAATGGTGCTTGTTACGAGGACCACCTAAAAAGTCCACCTAAATATATACCCCTGGTTGTATCAAGGACCATTCAGGTCTTTGGTATGTTACTTCTTCTACATCAAGTGGGTCGTCGTTGAAATCATTTGAAGAGATTGATAAATTACTTTGTTCAGGTTTTTCTTCACTAGAAATTTTTACTATAGTAACTGCAATGTGTTCTATTGGTTTCTTTGGTCTACCACGTTGTCCAGCTGGCTTTTTCATATTTTTTTTTCTTGAGCTTCCTTTAGTCTATTTAATACTTCTGTTGTTGTTAAAACTTTTCCATACCTAGCAGTTTTCAGTCTTGGGATTGGTGTCTTAGCTACGTCAGTAGTAGAAGGGTTTTGTTGTTTATACTGTAAAAGTTGATTTGAAAAAAATCCAATTATATCTCTTGGGCTAAAACTATTGGAAGAAGTATTTTCAATATCAATAGAAAATGAAACTTCTTGGCTGATACTTGATGAAGATGCTTGAAGATTTGTTGACAGTGAAGAATGCGTGGGCTCCTCTATATTTGGATTTACTGTATCACTTGTTTCTAGATTAAGTTCATTATTTAATGCTGCATTATTTTCTTCAGAATTGTCATTATGTAGGTTTGTATAGTAATTTTTTAAGTCAATAGTATCAAATTCATTCTCAGGAAATTTGGTTTTATCATGAGGAAATAAACCAGTAAACACAAACCCAGATACTGTTTCATCGATGTTGACCAAAAGTGCACCAAGGATTTCAGAAAATTTACATTTTGTTAATCTGCCAATAGTTTTTCCTACCATTTGCTTACCAAACTTGATCAATAATTTGTTCCACTCTGTTTTTAAAGGACCAAAAACACATTTGTCTAATGGTTGTATTCGGTCAGTAAGATGACTGGGAAATTTTACTAAAGCTATATTTTTATCAATTGCCAAATTTAAATTACGTAAACTGATATGAGAACAATGACCATCAAATAATAAAACAGCAGTTTGGTTGGGTTTGTTTTTTAAAATTCTTAATGTTTCAATATTTCTAATAAACATAGTCTCAAACCAATTGAAAAATAATGGTTCTTCCATCCAGTCATTTTTAGATGTTGAATAAAGCGTTCCAGGATAAGCATTTTCAGACGTCCATCGTGCTTGTACTGCACTACCCTTGAAGAGCATAAAGGGCGACAAGAAAGATCCATTTGCAGAAATGTAGGCTAAAACTGATATTGATTCTCTGCCAGAACCACCAGACACACGACTAAGTGTCATACCCTTTTCCCCAATAGCTTTTAAATAGCTGGATTCTTCAACATAAAATCAAGTACAATGTTGTACACTGTAACAGAAAAAATGGATACGTGGTCATGTTTTATAGAAAGTGGAAAGAATAAAAGGAAAGCCGTTCTATTGTACAGCTAACGATTTGGGCTTGAGAGGCATGTTCTCAATTCTAGTATTATTTTAAGATTAGAAAATACTTAAAATTGACTGGAAGTTTCAATAAAACAAAAGAGAAGAAATGTACCAAAACTACAGAGGAATATTCTCAAATTGTTTTACAAAAATTAGAAGAAAATCCCAATACATCTTTAAGAATAATATCGAGTAAGTAAACACATAGGTATACATATATATTTGAGCTCAAGGTCTTCCCTGACTCAGCAAATCCTCAAACAATTATTGTCTGGTTTCCATATTATGATCATATGTATGCTCCAGTTCATTCCTTTTGGCCTATATAATTTTGACTGATAATATCCTATTTCTCATGAGTATAGTTTGATTCAGTTTAATATTACGTTTTATACTATTTTATAAGATATTTGTTATGATAATTAGGTATATTCCTCTGTAATTCTGGCAAACCATGTCTCATTTTTTTATGACTTTAGCATAAAATTACTGTTTTTTATTAATTATAATGTTTTATTATTATTTATTTAGAAGAAGTAGAAATTTCTTATAGTTCAGTACAAAAAATTGCTAAAAGAAATAAATATCGTCCATATAAACGAAATACAGATCAGCATTTAAAATTTGATGATTATGAGCGTCGACTAGTTTGGATTGCAAAGATCCTTATTTGAATTCTATTTTTAAAAGTTTTTCTTTTTTTTAATTTTTGCTTTTCAAACATAATGTACTTGTTGAAATTAAAGATAATTCTCAATTCTTGGAAACAATATGTTGGACTGATGAAGCTAAATTTCACAATGTAAATAGTAAGAATATGCGTTATTGGTCAAATGGTAATCCTCACTGGCACACTGAGAAAAATTTTCAAGAACATTATGGCATTAATGTTTGGTGTGGTATCTTTTATGACACATTGATCGGTCCATATTTTTTCTCTGAAAATTTAAAAGGTGATAAATATTTAGAATTTTTAAAAACCGAACTCCCCATTTTTTTGGAGGACATACCATTATCAAGATGCAAAAATTTTGTTTGGCAGCAGGATGGTGCTCCAGCTCATAATAAAAATACTGTCATAGAGTATTTAAATTGCACTTTTGGCACGAATTAGATGGGAACGTACACTCCAAAAATATGTTGGCCACCTCGTAGTCCCTAAAACCTGCTTGACATTCCTGATTTCCAGCAGGATTTACTTCGGCAGCTGCCGGCACATACCTTACATTGTAAATTTCACGGATACACCGCAGTTGTGCTCCACTCTCTGTGTCAACCTAACCTTCGTATTTGTTCCGTTATTTTAGCCTTTGTGAAAACTTAAAATTGTTTTCAATCTTTTATTTTACGATTTTTAAACGTTTTAAGGTTTTAAGGTTCCTGAAATGGAAAACATAGACGATACTATTTCACCAAAAAGAAAAATGTATATGGAAAAGTGAGTAGAGTATTATAAATTCTAATAACATTATTGATTTAGTACCTAATTAGTTGCCGTTTGTCATTTTTTTTTTTATTACTCAAATTTCCCAAAAAAATCAAATATACAAATATTTGAAATAACATTATAATTCTTTTTTGTGTGGTTTATAATAACAATAAGTATTGTTATAGCAATAAAATAAAAGTAAGTACGATAGGCAAATTCTGATTTCACGAAAATGTTAAACACATAACCATATTTTTTTGTATTTTAAATTCAAAAACTGTTTTTGGACAAATTGAGCATTTTGAAGTTTTTTGACTATAACTTCCAAAATAATGAAATAGTATAAATAATAATATTTTTTTCCTAAATTTGATTTCGGTTTTGAATTTAGAGGTGGGCAGAAATGCTTGAAAATCGATGTTTTTATCGATATATTGAAATAAATATTATAATCACGCAAACCTAACTTTTACAATTTACAATTACGCCATTTTTTGTATAATTTTTTTATTTTTATTTTAGTGGATAACGAGTCATAAAAAGACGATGATAGTGAATTTGTACAAGGATTTAAAATCGAAGACTTCAGATATACCGTACAATCAAGTTAAGTCCGAAATGTCGCAAACTTTGGGTATTGGCTTAAATTCAGGGCGTTATACAATTTCTGAGTATAAATTAACCGGGATTGTTACATATCCTAACAAGAAATGGAGTAAGAAGCAAGGGCGGATCCAGCATGTATTTACGGTTGGGGCACTTTATAGGAAAAATTTTATTATATAGATATAGCCCCCACCAAAAAAAAAAAAACAATGTGATAAAAATGTATGTTTTTTACATTTATTTTTATATATTATAAAATATTATCTTGTTTTTTATAGTTTATTCATAAATGGAACTTAACTAAATGCTTTTATTACATTTATAAAATAAAATCTAATTTTCTATTTTTTGTTTTCGATAATCTGTCAATCACAGTATCTATGTCAATATCTTCTTTTTTGTGGGCATGAATAACGGCTAAATCTGATAATCTGTCTTCTGACAGCCTACAACGCATCCATGTCTTAATCCTTCTAAGTGACGAAAAACTCCTCTCTGCCGAAGCAACACTTACTGGTAGAGTAGTCAAAACTGTGAGAAACATATTAATAAGTGGAAATATTTCTTTATCACATTTTATCAGAGTATCTAAAGCTGAATTTGGTATGTCAGAATTTTTATCTTGCCACTGTTGATTCCACCACTGTAATTCTCCTTTTAATTTAATAATGAAATCTTCTTCATTCACAATTCGTTTGCTCATTTCTTCGACATTGTCAAACTGTTTCCAAATTATACGTAAATTATATTCAAAATATTCGAGGGATTGAGACATAGGTACTTGAGGAATAAATATCCTCAAACTAAATATAATTAGAGTTTCTTCGGTAAAACGATCGTTCATAGGCGCCGGCAGGAATTTTGTCAAGGTGCATCGTGCATACTATACGCCGATTTTTAAATAATGTATAAATAATTTTAGTTAAATACGTAGCAATATTTTTTCAAATTAAATTATGATACAAAGTTATTTTTGTTTTATTCGTCAGAAGTAATGTCAAAGTAATGCGGGATATTGGCTGCGATTAGAAAATCCGATAATGATCGACAACTCGTAAGCTTATCGCATGCGATAAAAATGACCGATTTATATATTGAATATACAGATATACAGTGTAAATTATACACGTGACAACTGACATGTCCTATACATCCATCGACACTATACGATAAAATCGGAATCATTATTAGTCGACAGTCGTGTGTCCGTGTGTGTATATCTCAACGTGCTTATTATTTTAGTTCTTACGTAAAATTATTAATATATAAAAATGAGTGACATACGAAATTTTTTGCAAAAGAAACGCAAGATAGAATTAAGTCCATCAAGTATAAATGAAGGCAATCATGACATAGGTAATTTAAGTAATTTAAGTACAATAGTTCTAATAGTAGCCAACAAAAAGAAGTGCCACAACTCCTTCATCAGTTGACTGTTGGTGCTAATAAATTAGATATTGGACTGTATTTGAATTCCTACGTTGATGACGAATTACGTTTAAAGTTATTGAAGGACCCCTGGGTTCCATCAAAAACATATGACTTCAAAAAAGATTTGACCAACGGCTCTACGAGAGTATTTCGTATAGAATGGTTTGCACTTTATCCATGGCTAAGTTACTCAGCTGTTTCTAAAGGCCCACTATGTCGCGTTTGTGTATTATTTCGACCTCGAGTACATAGAGGTGTTCAAGGAGTATTCATTGTTTCACCATGCATAAAATATCAAAAATTTAACGAGGTTTCAAAGGCTCATGAAATTAGTATTTGGCATAAAGACGCAATTAATGCGTCACAACATTTTTTAAACTCAAAAGAGAGAAAACAATTGAGTGTTCATGAGCAAATAGATTCGGCATTTAATAGAGAAATAGAAGAAAACAGGGTGAAACTTCGTTCTATCATATCGTCAATCTTATTTTGTGCAAAGCACGATCTTCCACTAAGAGGTAAAAATGACGAAGGTTCAGTTTTTACAGATTTATTACAATTCCGTGTCGAATCGGGGGATGAGGTTTTGAATAAGCATTTAAAGTCTGGAGCTAAAAATGCGTTATATATCTCACATGAAGTTCAAAATGAACTAATTAAAACTTGTGCTAATGTACTTCGACAAAACATTATTGAAGAAGTGAAACTTTCATCTGTTTTTTCGGTCTTAGCTGACGAGACTGCCGATATAAGTGGCACCGAACAATTGTCAATAGGTGTTCGGTATTTGTTTTACGACGTTAAGTTTCAAAAACACAAAATTTGTGAAGAATTTCTTGGTTACTCGC